ATTTATTTCCTATCATGCTATATCTCAGGCATTGTTTAAAAGACATCCTGAGTCTCCATGGATCAATTCAAAAGGATGGTAGCATTTTTTCTTCTTTCAGAAAAGATGGACCAATGTTGTAGATACTTGTTTACTTTCAGAAAAACTCTAAAAATTAGCTTTTACAGACATCATGCAATGTTCATTTTGACATTTCTACCTACCTTTTGTGTTATACACACTACAAACATTGATGGGGAGTCATTTCACCTCAATCCAACAAATATATTGAGTTAAAAATACATAAAATGGAAAACAAGTTCAAATTTACCTTTTAGAGTAGGATATAAAATTTCCTGGACCAGAAACCTTATGAAGCTCATAACAATAGCAGGGAGACCCAGTGTTCAGAATATCTCTTCCTCAAGTTGTGAATTGCTTTCAGTAGATTGCAGTCATTCAGAATTTCCCACTTTGTTACATCCCATTTTTGGCACTTGTCACAGTCAATTCCCTGCCTTATCCTGAGTTTTCAATTGTTCATCCCCAGACTTGGTATGTACAATCTACACCATGTTAGCTATGTTTCATACACCAGAGTATAGTTCTCAAAATGTTTGGTTCTTGTGTTATAGTGCCAACTTTGTAAAAAAAGTCATGTGACATTCTTTATTGTGAGTTAGTGTACATCCCATTTTTGGCACTTGTCACAGTCAATTCCCTGCCCTATCATGACTTTTCACTTGTTCATCCCCAGACTTGGTATGTACAATCTACACCCTTTTGGCTATGTTTCATACACCAGACTGTAGTTCTCAAAATGTTTGGTTCTTGCGTTACAGGACTAACTTTGTCCAAAAAATGATGGGACATTCTTTTTGCCCAGTCAGTGTACCTCCATAATTGTAAAACAATGAAGCTGGTATGAATCCTGAAAACATCAATTGTCAAAATTACAAAATGAAGAACATTGAACAGATTCAATTTGCATATTTAAACCATTTCTTTGTGAAATAACCTTGGTAGCCATGGCAACACCACTCAGCTGAAGAATATGTTGAAGAATAAAATAATGGAAATGACCACTCAATATGGTTGATGTTCTTATTGTTCATCAGTTTGAGATTTTGGTAATCAATATTTTTGGGATGGACATCAGCTTTATTATTCAACAAGTGTCGACAATTATGGAGGTACCTTTGCCTAGATCACATTGGACCCTGCCTCAAGTGAGATCTACTCTACCACTTCCTCAAATTTTTTTTTCCATCTCAATGTGAAATTTTCTCTTATATCTACTTTTTTTGGTGTAGATGCATTGTGTTCACTGTCAGAAGGCATTGTAGTGCTCAGGGTTCAGATACAATCAATGATCTCACATGATGGGGTTCAAAAAATAAGACACCTCAAACAGGGGACAATTGGGCACTTGAGCAAATTC